AAAAAAGAGAGAGGGCGCCTGAGTGGCTTAGTTGGTTGAGTGTCCAACTTCAGCTCAGGTCATGATTTCAAGGTTCATGGGCTCAAGACTCACATCGGGCTCTGTGCTGACAGCTCAGAGCCTGGAGCCTGCTTCAAATTCTGTGTCTCCCTCTTTCCCTGCCCCTCCCCTCCTCATGCTGTCTCTCTCTCTCTCAAAAATTAATAAACCTTAAAAAGAGAGAGAGAGAGAGAGAGGCACCTGGGTGGCTCAGTTGGTTAAGTGTCCATCTCAGTTGGTCTTGCAGTTTGTGAGTTCAAGCCCCGCGTCTGGCTCTGTGCTGACAGCTGACAGCTGTGTCTGTCTGTCTGTCTCTCTCTCTCTCAAAAATAAATAAACGTTAAAAAAAAGAATAAAATTACCTGCCTTGTTGGCTTATTTTCAAGACTAAATGAGTTCCTGTGTATAGCATACAGGCAGTCTATAGGGATCACTTTCAGAGGTGGCTGGCACTTCTTAAATGCTGGATAAATGCTGGGTGTTGGTGCTATTTGACTGACCTCCTAGCAGAAGGCTGAAGAGGGAGGTGGGGGGTGACCTTTCTCCTTTCTGCTTGGAAAGGCGTCTCACTAGCTCAGAGGTTCTCCACCTCTGAAGGCCCTGTTTGGTGTCAACTTAAATTTTTCTTTCTCAGAGAAGTCTTCCTACTACCCACCTGATCTGAAGCAACCCTATTCCCTCCGCCATTGTTTCCCGCATTACATTCTCTTCACTATCATTTGTTACCGTAAAGTGTTACTTCACGCTTGTTCGTTGAAAGGCTGTGACCCCCAGTAGCCACATGGTTTCCCACTGGTGAGGTGTGGCCAGGGGGTCAAGGACTCGGCCTCAGGGTCCTGACTGACTGGAGCTCCGATTTTGGCTAACTGCCCCCCGCTGACTCTGTGATGGAGGAAAGGTTATCTACCTTCTCTGAGCCTCAACTTTCTCACCTTTCAAATGGTGAGCATAAAGCCCAGCTGCCTTCCTGGGTGTGAAGGTGGAGTCTGAAACCTTATGAATGCTTAGCACAGTTCCTGGAACAGCGTGTACCAGTAAAGATGATTATCATCATTATCATTCCTAATGAGACAGCCATCCGTCCACTCGTCATCCTGGTAGTGGTAATAATAATTGCAGTGCAAGTTCCCCCTGCAGTAGAATATTGTCTCATCCTGGCTGGGGTCACAGGGAGTAAACGGTAATTAATGATTTGGTTGAGCTCTGAGAAACAGTTCAAGGTCTCAGATTGCTTATCTTTGAAAGAAAGGAGCTAGTGGGTGTGTGTGAGCTTACGAGGTTTCAGTACCTTTCATGTGTTTGTCAGTAGTTACAAGGGGAGGGAGGTGATGACTGTTTGCATCTGGAGGGACCGACTTCAGGTAGCGCAGGGCAGGTGAGGTGGGAGTGCTGCGCCAGCAACAGCACTGCTGAGATGTGAGGCCCAGGTCTGTGCCTTCTGCATGTGTGAGGGGTTAGGGGTCAGCAGAGGAGGCTGAGAGAGCATGAGGGGAAAGAAAGGATTTCCCCAGAGAATCTTGCAGCCTTAGCAAGATCAAGTCCTAAGTGACATGGGCTTTGTTATCACCGGCACAGATTAGAATTCTGGTTCTGCTGGAGACTCTCCTGAGAAGAAGTGGAAAAGAGGGTCAGAGAACCTATGTGGGGGATGTAAAGAAGGAAATTAGGTCCTAGGAGACTGCAGATTCTAAGTATGCTGGGAAATTTGGAGCCAGCTTTCCTCTGAGCTCCTGGTGGGTATTTTCGTCTTGCAGAAAAAAGCAAATTCATTTTGTGAGCCCATTTTATAGATGGGGAAACTGAGGCCCAGATAAGTTGGGCAGCTTGCTCAGGGTCATGTGGATAGAAAATGGCAGGGCCAACAGTCTCCCCACACACATCAGGCTATTTGGGATGATCCTGTTCATACCATTTGCTGTTGGTGTTGGGTAAATTTAAGTAGAAATGGCTGTCAGGGCACCCAGTGGCTTTGTGGATAGGACCAGAGGTGGAGGCAAAGCCACTTGTGACTCTGACTCAGTCCCGCAGTAACTAGAAGAAACCAAGCCCCCCACCCACAGTGTGGCCTCAGTAGCTGCATAGACACTGCACGCTTGCGACTCCCCAGGCTTCTCGAGTAGGACTGGTCTGCACAGCCATCTCCCATGCTTGGAAGGACTTACATAAATAGGTTGACTCTCTCTTCTTCCCAGGGAGGAGTTGATTATCCTCAGGGGGTCATATTCCTCAGGGTGGGGACACATTCTATCTTTAGATATCACCAAGGTTTGTATTCACAGGAGGATATGCAAGATTAAGTGACCTTGACTATGGAATGCAAAGCTACTTATTTGTATATTCTCCACAACCACCCTGTGAGGTAGGTGCGATTCTTTCCCCCTTGCCTGATGAGTCATCTGAGGCCCAGAGAGGTTGAGCTTGCTCAAGAACACATAATAAAAGGCTTACCAGGAGATTTAAACCAGATAGTGTTGTTCCATAGCCTGTGTTCTTAAATACTTTACTAACCTCATTTTGATGAGTGAGTACCATCCATCCATCCACCCATCCATTTCTGAACTCATCTCTCTACCCAGCTTTTACCCCATTCAACTGTCCATTTATCCTTCTATTCATCCACCTGTCCCATGTGTTCATCTCTCCACCAGCCACCCATTTTTCCTTCCATCCATCCATCCATCCATCCATCCATCCATCCATCCCATAATCCATCCATCTATACATGCATCCACTCAGCCATCCATTTTCACCCATCCACCCGCCCACCTATCCATTGTATTGGCTGTTTGTCTAACATGGTGTTCTGCTTTGTCCTGGGGAAAGAGTTTCTCCGTATGTTTTCTGAAGCTGGAGACTTCCATGCCAGCACAAATCCCTTAGCTCCTAAGAAATATCTGGGCTTACTCCTGATACTACTAGGCTGGTGCCCTTGGGAATGCTGCTATTCCAGGCAGTGCCAGGTTGCTTATTCCCTTTCCTCCCTCCGTAAACCTGGAGAGGGTTTCGCTCTTCAAAGACCTCCCAAAGTGCAAAGGTGTAGGCTCTTCCACAAAGACTTGACTTTCTCAAGCATCATCACAGATGAATCCTCAACTAGCTCCGTTCTTTGATCCAAAGATTGGAAGCAGGATTACTTTGGCATGGATATACTTTTTAAAACTGTTATAGAGTTTGCGTGATACATCTAAAAATTATGTAATAAATCTAAAACAGATGTTCACGGAGCATTTTGTAAGGAAAGGAGTTTTAATAGAAATAGGCCAATTTGATTGCAGATAAGTCAATTAAGGAAACCATTTAAATTGTCTCAAAAGAAACAGTGTTATGAAGAGGCAGCATGGCCCAGCTATTTGCATATTTATTAAGTGCAAGGCAATGAAAATCATTTAATTATTTTGCATAGCCTCTGTTGTACATAAACCATTGGGAGACAATCTTACTTTTCAGAGTTATTTTTACCTTCTATTATGGAAAATTTTAAACATAAAAATTCAAACACGTAAACATGAACAGTCATAGAGCGAATCCCCATGTACTTGATACATGAAATATGAAATATGATCTTGAAATATGATTGACTAAACTTGTATTGACTTCTTTCTTCTCACTTTGTTTTTTCTCTTCTTGAGTTTCAAGGATATATTCCTCACTTATTAATTTCATGGGGTCAAAATTCCATTATGTTGACATAGAAATATAATCAGCTTCTGAATGTAGTTGTTTTATTTTTTCATTGAAATTTAGCTTTTTTTTAGGGTAGAGCATTGTGTATTTTCTGACTTTTTTTTTTTTTTAATTTAAAGAATTTTAGGTTAGGCCAAGTTGACAGGATAATAAAGGAACCCTCACATGTTCTTCCCCTTGATAGACCAGTTATTAGCATCAGGACTGGCATTTTCCTAAGTGCGTTCTTCCAGGAAATTACTTTGAAGACAGGGGAGGTTTTCATACCTTTGAAGGTATGTGGACAGTAGCACAGAGTTTTAGAGCCAGACAGATAGAGGTTCAGACCTCACCTCCACCACTGCATAGCCCTGCCTGCTAGGCAAGTTACCTCACACTCAGCCACGTCATCCATCTAACAGGAATAATAGCAGTTATACCCATGGAGTTATATAAGGCATATAATAGGGTCCCAACAAATGTTAGCTATCACCTGACCTACAAGCTGTACCCTCTATGTTGGGGGGCGAGTGTTGGGTTTTGTTGATTCAACTCATTTTTGGTCAGTATGGAAGATTTTTGTACTAGAGAGCGTTGGTATGGCCTGTGATTAAGACAGTAAGTCCGGGGTAAGAGTGATTTAAATCCCAGCTCTGCCCTTACCAGCTTGGGGCTTGGTTGAGTGACTTAATCTCCCTGAAGCCTCGTTTCCTTAAGGGTAGAGCAGAGATAACGAATACCTACTGATTGCACTGGGTTGTTGTCAGGGGAAAATGACATGGGACCATCCATGCCCAGCATTTAGTCACACCACTGAGTGCGACTAATCATTCGTATTATTATAAAGAAGGACACATTAGCATAGTGCCTACCATGTAAATGTGCAATAAATGTTACTCACTGTAAGTAAGGGTGAAAAAGTCACACCAAATTGGTCTCCAAATGTCTGATTTTACTTCAGTGCAATGAAAAGAATAAAGATCTTTCGTGAAAGCTCGCGCTGTGATTTCAAGCAAGAGTAAACCCTGGAATGGACGGGCAGATGCCACCAGCCAGGCATGGCCTCACACAGTTGTCATGGGAAACAGCCGAGGGCCTTTGGTTCCATTCAGTGATATCCTAAAATAAACCAGCCTTCTTGAACACTCCTGGAAGCCTAAGCTTCCAGTGTTGAATGGCTATGTCCCCTGGCCCGTGTGACTGTCCTGAGGGCTTTGTGTTGATGTTGCCTGGGCCTGATTTCTCTCCTCTCCCCCTTTTCTCTCTCTCTCTCCTGACTCTCTCATATCGTGCTTCAGGTCGAAAGGATTGTAGACAAGAGGAAGAACAAGAAGGGGAAATGGGAGTATCTCATCCGATGGAAAGGCTACGGCAGCACAGAGGACACGTGGGAGCCAGAGCACCATCTGTTGCACTGTGAGGAGTTTATCGACGAATTCAACGGGCTGCACGTGGCCAAGGACAAAAGAATCAAGTCAGGGAAGCAGGCCAGCACCTCCAAGCTCCTGCGTGACGGCCGAGGCCCGTCGGTTGAGAAACTCTCCCACAGACCTTCAGAATCCGGGAAGAGCAAAGGGACTTCCCATAAACGGAAGCGGATCAACCCTTCCCTGTCCAAGCCGAAGAAAGGCTATTCGGCTAAGCCCCCCGCGGGCAGTGACAGGGCCACCAAGACGGTGTCTTACAGGACTACCCCCAGCGGTTTGCAAATAATGCCGCTGAAAAAGGCTCAGAATGGGATGGAAAATGGGGACACCGGTTCCGAGAAGGACGAGAGGCACTTTGGAAATGGGTCCCATCAGCCTGGCTTGGATTTGAATGACGTCGGAGGGCAAGAGCTGGCGGAGTGTGGTGTGAACCACGCAGCACTGGCGGAGAACGGGCTCGGTACGTGGCTTGTCTTTCTTCTGTGTTTGGTCTGGTCCAGGTGGCCGGGGGCTTTGCGTGCAGCCTAGGGGAGTAGGTGAGACCTCCCTGCCCCCGAACCCCGGCTCTTAGCTAAGCAGGCATTCCCCTTCTGGCTCCCTCACCTAGAGTCGTGTGGACTTGGTCACGGGGCCATACTGGTTGCAGACACCTGTGCTCGAGGGGAGGCCAAGCCACCGATGCTCCCGCCCAGGCCTATAGTGGGCTGAAAATCCCAAGGCCACGGTAACCACTCTAGAGACCATGTTCTGAGGGTTGCTCGAAGCCCTCACCCACCAGGACCCGAGACCCGTGTCCCCAGGGGGCCAGCCAGTGCATCTCTTGGGTGGCATGCAGTTCTGAGAGGCTTTGCCTTCAGTCTCATTGAGCATCCCCCCTCCAAAGCCGTGGAGCCCAGAAGGGCGGGTCTGGCCCTCTTCTCAGACCCAGTTTGGACTTGAACTTCTCCAGGCCCGGGCTTCAGCTGGGCCTCCGGCCCCTCCTCTGTCTCCAGCATGGGTGCTCTGGCCCCATGTCTAGAGCAGGTCTGAGAGCTGCCCTGGCCCCACCCTCTGCTAACTCTCTGGGCTTGCACCTCCTTCACCCCAGAAGCAACACAGCAAAGGCATGGAATCCCTCCCTCTTACTAAGTCCCCACAGGTAGAGTTAAGGAAAGAGGAGGCAAAAGGTAATTAAAGCTCCCAAACCTGACATTTTCTTAACGATGAAGTTATTCCTTGACTGGGCCTTAGTGGCGCGGGTCCTCCAGGCTGGCCATCTGCACCTGTTTCGTGCACGCCCTCATTTCTCGGGTATCTGTGTGTCTCAGTGGTGGTGGCATTCTCCTCTTTAGCCGCCAGAACCCTAAGCCTTGGGATGAGCGTGGACAACCTGTTCCCGACAGAGCAGGGGCATCGATGCCCGATGTCGAAGCAGAATGTGTGTGTGGGAGTAGGGGTGTGGGGCGCAGGTGGCAGCATCCTGGGAGGGGGTGATGGAGGAGATGCCCAGGAGCGCGGCGGTGATTTCCAAGTTCAGAGTGTTCAGGGCGCGCCCCGCTGCAGAGAGAGAGCCCCGCGGTCTTGAGGGAGCCTTGCCGGGGAAGCTGAGCGATGCCTTGCTCCGCAGGGAGGGATTTCACCCAAACAGGATTTGCTTAGCAGTGTCTGCCCCAGATTGACTCATGTTTCCGTCTGGGGATCCCTGATGCTGACATGACTCTGCCTGCTAACATATGTAAAAGCTGTTTGTTTTAAAAATTCATCTCTCAGGGAGGAGTGGGCTTGTGTAAATGAGGCCTGGCATAAACATCCGTGTCTGACGTTCGGCGACAGCTGCCTGCGGGAGAGGGATTCCCCGGCTCGGGAGGGTGGCTGGGGGCGTGGGGGATATCTGAGGCTCCTTGGGTGTAGGTGCGGGGGGCCTCGGCCTGTACGGTCCCCTGCCCTGCTTCACATGTGGCCGCCTCAGGGGTGGGAGGAAGAACACGGAGGAGGACGGCTTGCTGACTGTAGCCGCCAGACTGCAGGGGGCCGTGGGGACACTGGATGCAGAGAGAAGGGGAGATGGACCTTCCTCTCCTTCCACACAGCTTTCCAAAGTCGCCCTCCATCTTTGGGCCTGGTCGGCACCCCCTGGTTCATGATCTGCCTGTGGGATGTGGTGCCCCACGAGCAGGGAAAGGCCAAGGGTCCCAGGTGGCCTTCTTCAATCCCAACCTTGACTCCACAATGCTTCTCTAGACCTTTCTTGTCTCTGATCTCTTACTGGCCTCATTTTTTTTTCTTCCTGACATTGAATCTCTTCCACTTGGGCCCGTGCCTAGGAGGAGAGGAGGAAGCTACCTGCCTCTTTTTTTTGTTCTGTTTTGGGTGTTCTCAAAGGGCTCTTTTGCTTAATCACATTCCCTAGTATTGGTGCCCTTGAGATTCCCCTGCAAGGTTAAGGCTGCGATTCTCAAATGTTATGTGTGTAAGATTACCTGGCACCTTGTTGAAAATGAAGGTCCCATGGAGTCTGATTTACTAAGCCTGGGGTGGAGCCCAGAAGGTGGGTTTTTAAATGAGCACCCCACGTGACTCTAATGCATTTTGAAATGTGCTCTGTGGCGAAATGGGGGTGGCAATGGAGGTTCACATCAGGTGTCAATTTAAGTCAATTGAGTGATTTCTTTTTGTTTTGTTCTTTTAGCACTTCCTAAGAGCTAGCCACCATGCTAGGTGTTTGCAGTAGAGCAATAAAAGATAGGGACTTCTCCCTCCAAAATTTACAGTTTAGGGATGCTCGGTCAGTTAAGGGTCTGACTCTTGATTCAGGTTCAGGTCATGATCTCATGGTCTGTGAGTTCAAGCCCCGCATCAGACTCTGAGCTGACAGCGTGGAGCCTGCTTGGGAGTCTGTCTCTCCCTCTCTGCCCCCTGCCCTAATCTCCCTCTTTCTCTCTCAAAATAAATAACTAAACTTAAAAAAAAAAAAGTATCTGTAACTTACAGTTTACTTCCAGTTAAGTTGAGAGTGCACGGCTTCACTTCAGTGTTGAGAAGATTCCTGAGGCTGGCTCATCAGAAGAAGTAATGTGTATATTATATACATGGTATACCTTTGCCACGCCCACATTTGCATCTTCTGTGGTCACTGGGCTGATAAATTCTCCAAACACTGTCAGCCTTTAACATTCTAGTTAGAACAAGCTTAGAACAATTTCCCCTGTGTAGGTCTTGGGGAAATTGGGGAAAGGAAAAGACTAGGAATCCTTACCAAAGAGAGAAAGGCGGTTTGGGGTTCTTAGATAAGACAGAGGGGTTTTCCGGTTCCAGAACTTGCCAGCAAAGGGGCCAGAGGTGTAGTCAAACAAAACATGGCTCCACTCAGGTTTTCAACCAGAGAAGAGTCTCCATGAAGCCAGTGTCTGTGCCCGTGTGGAAACCTGAGCGTCCGCTCTCTTCCCACCTGCACCAAAGAAACCAGTTCCTAATGGCACAAGGTGAGCCGGTGGGGTCTGCGGCCCGGAGGAGGGTTTATCTCTGCCTGGGAGAAGGTGATGGGGAGATCCTGGATTTGCTTTCCCGGCATTTGTTTTGGGGGCGGGCTTACTTTTTTTATGATTTCAACTTCTCGTTGGTGAATTAAGGTTCTGCATACAGAAAAGCAACTTATGTAACACGTTACTCATTTACTGCTGACTTCCTTGATCTGTGCTGTGGGAACAAATGCTAAAATGGGGCTCAGGGGGGGTGTTTTGGTTTCAGGCTGCATTTTCCCCAGCAGTGTTTGGGAAGTGTGTATGCAGCGAGTCGGTACTGCGCTTGCTTCTCACTCCTCTGGTAATGACAAATGGCTCTGTGGTCCGGAACCGTCTGCCTCGGTAGCCTTTGGGGAGCTTGTTAAAAAATGGGCTCCACCCCAAATCCAGTGAATCCAGCCCTCAGGGGCAGGGTGTGGGTTATGCATTTTCACCACTGAATTTTAAGCGTACACTAGTTGCAGAGGAGGCATTTGGTTGTCGGCAATGAACGGTCCTTGGATCCATTTGCTGGGAGAGCCCCTTACCCCTTGGATTTTAAGGTTACGTGGGAATGTGAATTGGTCCTTCAGAGGTTTAAAACATAAACCTGACATAACTTCTTGCTGCTGATGCACTTTTGTCCCGGGCATCTCTCTCTCCTTTTCCCTCTCACTTTTATTTTCCCCCCTAAAACACACCGGTTTCATGTGTACGGAAAAGCTGTTGAGTTAGCTAGCTTGTGCCGTGGTCCGGTCCAGGAAAGCGGGTTAGCACTCTCTCGTCTGAACGGATCAAAGCATCAGTACCTTCCAGATTCAGATGAGCCTCTGTCCTGTGGCAATGCCCTTACTAGGAGCCAGTGTTCCACACGGAGCCGTAGCACAGCCCACAGACGCCTAGCGTTGTCCAGGTGTCCACGAAGCCCGTGTACTTCCGCTGTTGATGCTGATCCTGTGGTCCCGTGTTCGTGTTTCTTTGAATTTTGAGAATCCTTTTCCTTGCATCCTGATGGCGGTTGTCTGTCGCTTGGGCGCCGTATCTCAGACGTGGCTTGAGCCAGGGTTTTCAGAGTTGTTCTGATCGTTGAATGAGCCATCCCACACCAACAGGCAACTGCCATTTTCTCTCCGTTGATCTTTTAAAGTTATCTCAGCTCTCGCTCCTGTGAGGCTTGTGTATCTCTTTGCTACTCCTTTTCTAACACAATTATCTTCTTCCTCTTTATGGATCACAGGGGAATAACCATCCTTTAACCCCTCAGAACCCAGCAGGAGCTTGGGTAGTACCCTGTCGCTTTTAAGAATTTAGGGCTCTCTCTCACAGAGCTAGCATCAGAATCCCCTGAAAGATGTGTTAAAACACAAGGGTGTGGGGGCACCTGGGCGGCTCGGTCAGTTGAGTGTCCAACTTCGGCTCAGGTCATCATCTCGCTGCCCGTGGATTCGAGCCCTGCATGGGCTCTGTGCTGACAGCTGGAGCCTGGAGCCTCCTTCAGATTCTATGTCTCCTTCTCTCTCCTCACCCCTTGACCCCCACTCATGCTCTGTCTCTCTCTCTCAAAAATAAATAAACATATAAAAAATTTTTAAAAAATGACCCACAAGATTGTTATGCCAACTCCCATAATGTCTGATTTCGTAGATGTGAAGTCTAGCCTGAGAGTCTGAATTTCTAGAACATTCTCAGATGCTGCTGCTGGTCCAGGGACCCCACCCGCAGAACCATGGCTCTAGACTAGTAAGCGCCATGAGGGTTGAGATGAGAATGACAGACCATGGTTGTAAGTGCCAATTGGTGGCGCTGGAAAGAGAGGAAGTGCTTTTGGTCTGGACCTGGAGTTGGCATTCATGAGAATCGTTAAGTTGAAAGTTTGTGAAGCAAAAAGTTGTTTCAGTTGAACGTTTTAAGAGCATGAGGGCTCCCCTACAAGGAGGCCATGGGGATTACAAAGGATTTGTGTGATCCTTCTAGGGTCCTG